CCCCAAAACCCCAAAACCCCAAAACCCCAAAACCCCTTAATGAAATTTAAAGTGGATCCACTTGATGTAAACATTTTAAATCCACAAATAAAATAAAATTTCAGAGATATATTTATAGATATATCCTTAAGAGTTGGTGTCAAATGAAAGTAATGAATCCTCTATACGCTATTATTTGCTTGATTATTACTGGTAATTCATATAGCATTGATTATTCATCAAATGTAGTCACTAGATGTGAAAATACTCTTGCATTTTTGCTAGACTGAGTTCCTTTTTGGACTAATGAAAATCTTAATGTTCTCTTTTCTATAGCTTTCTTAATAATTATATATTGAGAACTCTTTATTAATCTGCACATTCACCTTTCTTAAGAAGTCTTCATTCTAAGATATCTCTTTATTACTTTTGAGCTTTCTAGAGCTCTAGTTTACCATCAAATTAAGTGCATTTCTATGAAGACTATTACTGGTTAATCTTCTTTAGTTCCTTAGATTAGGTAAATCAGAATTCATAGATTAAAAATCATCAAATCTCTACGATCCGTTCTTTACAGACAAAAATCTCATCTTGTCTGATTCGGTAGGCTATGTATCAAGTATCGACATATTCATAGCTTTTCTCTTTTCTTAGAATGGTATAATCTTATCAATAATGCTATTGTTTTAGAGCTAAGGCTTATGTCTTAGATGAATATTGAGTTCTATAGAGGGTTAAACCAAAGGTGTTGGATATCTGGTTCCTTGAGGTGTGTTCTATTAGGTTTGAGCTACTTTCCTTATTCTGAGAGGTGTTTCTGTACGTCTCTAAATCTCTTATATTACTCTATCGTTTAAGTCTACTCTTGTCATTAGATTATTGATTTTACTGTATTTATTCTTTCTATCAGTGTCAATAATATTCTATATCTTGTTAGGCTGAATTCTAAATTTTTTAATATTTATCTATGGTGTTTACGACCTTGACGTAAATTCTATTTTGGGTGAAATTTGAACTACATCGAGATCATTATTTAACATGATAAGTCTGTTTTTTGGTGATTTAGATCTCTCAATACTTTCCGCTTTGATCTCAGATTTTGGATAGCTCTAAGCGATTTATCTAATTTAATCTCCGACCTTCTCCATTTTGAATCTTTTTAGTGTATTATACATTGTATTATCCATGCTAAAATTCTTTTGCTCGAGTTATATAATAATCCTCTTAATGACCTCTAATTTAAGAAAGAGCTAGTATTTCTAGCTCATAAATTCCTAATCAACACTCATTTGTCCATAATCATTTGATATCTTTCCAGCTAAATTTTTTAATCTTACTAGAAGTCCACCAAGTACTAATTTTACATTTGTTTAATTTATATTTGATGATATTGGATAGTTTTTGATAAAATCTAAATAGCATGAAGGTCTTTTCTTTTATTAAGAGTGGTCGATTGTCAAGTAATGCACATCGTTCTTCTGAAAACTTTAGGTATTCTCATCTGTAACCGAGACAGAATCGTTCGACTTTATTTCGGATACATCTGTGCCAGAAAGTTTCGCTTGCTGGTTATTTAGCCCACGCTTACGATCATCAATCTTATTCATGTCGAAATTTGGAATCGGAGAACTGCCTGATTATTAGGTACTCAAATTTAGATCTGAGGCAAAAGTGTTGCTAGAATTCTTAGCCTAGACATTAGTTTTAAGGTACTGTCTTATTTTATTTGGAGAAATTCTGTTCTACATAAGAATATCTTTGAATTTCGAGATTTCGATTTTGACTAGTTATGAATCTCTATCTTCAAAATTTTGATCTACATAATCTTTGAATGCTTCCAACATCTTGATCTAACTTGGCGATAAAAGGTCTTCTTTTTCCTCAATCATGAATTTTACCTTTGTCTTGTTAATTACCACACGCTTATCTTTCTTTTTAAAAGGGGACACAAATTGTCTTGTATTTGAGTCAAATTTAGATTATTCATCATTTGGCTACTAAATAATAATGTCACTTTTACTTGATTGGTTTGAGTTAGGCTATGTCTTAGACAACTACTTTTGCTTAAACGACTTCATACTAAGTAGCCTATACTTTTCATGATCGAATTTATTCACCTTTATCCTTTCTATATTAGTGGCATGTTGCACCATGTCCTATCTGAGTTTTTCCGCTTCTTCCTGCATATTTTAATATTTTCACAATTATTTTAAAGATGGATCTTCTTGCTATTTATTGAGGTGAGAAGTATTTTGGTTTGTTATGGTCATCGTGTTTTTCATGATTGATCTAATCTTAATCTACCTTGAATATATTGGATATTGTGTTTCCGGAGTATTATTCATATCATTATAGTCAGATAGGTTATTCGTAGCTTTCTTAGCACTTTGATTGAGCATCGAAGAATGCATTTTGGGTATTTGTCTGTTTTGATATATTTATTATTGCTGCTTTTGCTCATCAATATAAGAGGCCAATTTTTGATATTTTGGGTATGGACTCAAAATTGCGCTAAATAAATGCCATCCAGGCTTGTCTTCTGTGAAGTTTATCTAGTCGGGCAACCCAAAATCTGGAATCTAACCATTTTTTACATCCGATATTATTTCATTGAATTTAATTTAAGAAGCCTTCACTTTATTGCTTTCTTCCAGAATATTTTGAAACACTTCCAGCAAGCGATTTCTATGGTATATTAAAGTCTACCTTCTAAACCGTTCGATTTCTGATTCTCTTGGGATATACATTCTAGGTTGCCCATGTCCTGGTGTGAAATTGATGATACAAGATTATGATCTTTTGAACAGAGAATTACTCTAATTTATAATTTTCTCAATATCCTTCTTCACATATAAGCTAAAAATATACCTCCTAGTATCATCCTCTTTCAAATTCTTTTCTTAAAAACTTATATCCCTTAGTATTCTTGGATCATTAGACTTCTCAATTACACCGTATGGCAAGGTCCTAGGATCGTAATTTCTTATCTTGTGAGCAGACTTATTCATTAGCGTTTAAACAATATTTAATTATGATAAATTAAGTAACAAGGGCAGTTGTTTTATATCAATCATAAATCTACATATTAGTTATTTCTTCTAATTTGGAAATCAAATTCGACAGTAATATGTCCTTCACGGGGTTTTGGGGTTTTGGGGTTTTGGGG